CCTCGCCCTGGCCCTGAGCGTGAGCGTTTCTTTTTGGTGGTCGTTGACGACTACTCCCGCTACACCACAGTGTTCCCCCTGGCGAGGAAGTCTGAGGTGACTTCTACGCTGATCAGGTGGTTGCTTACCACCCAGGACACTCGTGGTCGTCGTGTCAGCTGTCTCCACTCCGACCGCGGGGGCGAGTTTCGCTCCGGCATTCTCGCTGGATTCTGTCGCGAACAGGGCATTCGTCAGTCCTGGACGCTTCCGGAGTCCCCACAGCAGAATGGGGTTGCTGAGCGTCGCATAGGCCTGGTCATGGAGATTGCCCGCACCTCCTTGACTCACGCCCGTGCCCCCCATTTCCTGTGGCCATACGCAGTCAGGTACGCCGCGCACCAGCTGAACCTCTGGCCACGCGTCTCTCGGCCGGAGGCTTCACCGACCAGTCTTTGGACAGGGTCCCCTGGTGTCGCGTCGAGGTTTCGTGTCTGGGGGTGCTTGGCTCTTGTCCGCGACACCTCCGCGGACAAGCTCTCGCCTCGCGCCGTTCCTTGTGTCTTCCTTGGTTTCCCTGAGGACTCCTCTGACTTCACCTTTTACCACCCTCCCTCTCACCGGTTCTTTGACTCCCGTGACGTCCGTTTCGAGGAGTCCACCCCGTACTACGTCAGGTACCCCAGTCGAGGTCTCCCGGTTCCTCCTCCCCCCCTCTTCCTGACAGCCGCTCCCCCGCCTGCTCCCCCTCCCCCTTCGGTAGCCCCCCCTGTACAGCCTCCCTCCCCACAGTCTTCCTCGCCGCCTCCTGCAGGTGCTCCCTCTCGGGAGGTTGGTCCTGCGACTGTCCCTGTACAGGTCTCTGGTTCTGGGGGTGCTGGAGTTGGAGCTGAGCCGCGGGTTGCAGAGGACTCTTCTCTTCCGGGGGCTGGTACTGGTCGTGCGGAGTCTGGGGGTGCTGCGTCTGGGGGTGAGGGTGTTCCTTCGGTTTCTGGAGAGCCTGGGTCTGGAGCTGGTGTTGGTGCTGCCTCTGGGGGTGGTGTGCTTGGTGCTTCGGAGGTCGACTCTGGGGCTGCCGCTGCCCCGGACACTACTCCTTCCCCCCACCCCTACCCGACCAGGTTCCAGGCTCGTGTTCGCCGTGCTCGTGAGGAGCAGCTGGAGTTGGAGAGAGAGGAGAGAGAGTTGCAGCGGCTCGAGGAGCAGGAGCGACAGCAGCAGGGGCAGCAGCCGCTGGAGCAGCAGCAGCCGCAGCAGCCGCAGCAGCAGCAGTTGCCGTCTCCTCCTCCTGTCTCGGGTCTTCGGACCCTTGGTCTCCCCTCTCCCTCTCCTTCCTCCTCCCCCTCTCCTCCCGTCTCTGGTCCTCCGCTTCCTCCTCCTGACCCCTCTCCCGCTGTTTTCCCTCGTTCTCAGTCTTCGTTGTCCCCTCCTCCTTCTCAGACTTGGGCCTCTCGTCGCTCCCCTCGTGCTCGTCCCTCGTCTCCTGTTCCCTTCACTGACCTTCGTACTGCCTTACTTCGTTCTAGTCCACCTCGTCCGTCTCCGTCTGTGCTTCCGTCTCCTCCTGAGTCGGCTCTCACTGCGTCGCTCCCTACTCCTGTCACTGACTACTACCGCACGTACCGTCCTCTTCTCTCTCGTGTTCTCGCCTCGCTTGTTACTCACCCTCGTGCCTCTGTGTCCTCTGTGTCCGCTCTTACTGCCGCAGTCACTGAGTTTGCCTCTACCCGCCGCCTTGACTTCGCCACCGCGCTTGTGGCTGCTCCTCCTTCCAGTCCTCTGGCCGTCGGGGGTGTGTCTGCCCTTGGCTGTGACGCCCTAGAGGACAGGCAGTTTGAGCTAGAGTTCCTGGCGGCCGCTTCCCCTCATCTCTGTGCCATGCTCCTCGCCCCTGAGGGTGACCCCGACGCCCTTGACATTCCGACTCCTCGCACTTACGCTGAGGCAGTGTCAGGGCCTTGGGCCTCTCAGTGGAGAGCTGCCATGGACGCAGAGATGGCCTCCTACAGATCCACAGGCACCTACGTCGATGAGGTTCCCCCTCCGGGGGCGAACGTAGTCGACGGCATGTGGATCTACAGGGTGAAGCGGCCACCGGGATCTCCTCCGGTCTTCAAGGCACGCTACGTGGCTAGAGGTTTCAGTCAGCGCGAGGGAGTTGACTTCTTTCAGACCTTCGCGCCCACCCCGAAGATGACCACTCTTCGGGTGTTACTACACGTAGCAGCACAGAGAGACTACGAGTTACACTCTCTCGACTTCTCTACTGCTTTCCTTCAGGGCAGTCTTCACGAGGAGGTCTGGTTGCGTCGTCCCTCTGCCTTCACTGGCTCTTTCCCTCCTGGGACCCAGTGGAGGCTGAGGCGACCGGTTTACGGTCTTCGTCAGGCTCCTCGTGAGTGGCACGACACCCTGCGTTCTACCCTGTCTGACCTTGGGTTCCAGCCGTCTTCTGCTGACCCGTCGCTGTTCGTTCGTCGTGGCCCCACACCTTTCTTTGTTCTGGTCTACGTTGACGACCTTGTTTTTGCCACCCCTGACAGGGTTGCTTTGGCACACGTGAAGTCCGAACTGCAGAAGAGACACACCTGCACTGATCTTGGTGAGCTGCGCCACTACCTTGGCCTGCAGATCACCAGGGACAGAGCTGCTCGCACCATTACACTTTCACAGTCGCACATGGTGCAGCAGGTCCTTCAGCGGTTCGGGCTTCAGCACTCCACAGTACAGCGCACACCTCTTGCTGTTGACCACAGACTCACTGGACCCTTTCCTGACGAGCCGTTCGAGCCTAGTGGTCCCTACGCAGAGCTTGTGGGTTGCCTCATGTACCTGATGACTTGTACTCGCCCGGACCTCGCCTTCCCTCTCAGCGTTCTTGCGCGCTTTGTTGCGCCAGGGAGACACCGTCCTGTTCACTGGACAGCAGCTGTGAGGGTGGCGAAGTACCTAGCGACGACGTCAGGCGTGGGGCTAGTTCTTGGAGGGCAGCAGTCTGTCGTACTTACTGGTCACTGTGACTCCTCTTACGCTGACGACGCTGAGACTCACAGGTCTACTCAGGGGTACTGTTTCAGCCTGGGTTCTGGAGCTGTTTCCTGGCGGTCCACGCGCTCCTCTTCGGTCTCGACCTCTACAGCTGAGGCTGAGATCTACGCTGGTGCCATGGCGGCACAGGAGCTGCGTTGGTTGACCTTCTTGCTCACCGACCTTGGTGAGCGGCCGAGCTCTGCACCGACCTTGTTCACTGACAACAAGGCGTCTATTCTCCTTTGTCGAGAGCCACGACTGGAGAGCAGAGTGAAGCACATTCACGTCAGGTACTTTCTTCTGCGAGAGTTGCAGAGGCGTGGACAGGCTCGCTTTGAGTTTGTGGAGTCCGAGGCCAACACTGCAGACATCTTCACCAAGGCGCTTCCGCCTTGTGACCACCAGAGGTGCTGTGTGCAGTTAGGCCTTGTTGACACTGGTTCTCGTGTTGCTTAGACTTGAGTGTACTGTTTACTTTGCTTTCTATATACCTCTGTTACTTCTTGGACTGGCCTTGTGGCCACTGTTGTTTGTGCTTAGACTGTGTGGTGACGTTGTGATCCACCCTGAGCTTCGTTTCTTGGACTGGTCTTGTGACCGTACTCGTGTGGTTCTGCTAGACACCCCTCACTTAGGCTATGGGGGTGTGTCAAATGTTGTAGCCTATAGTGAGGTTTGTCTTAGGGGGTACAAAACTTAGGGTTAGCTATATGTACCCCAACCAACATCAGTGCATTATCCATTCTTCATTTTGACAGTTCACTCTATAATGAGATGATCTTGAAGTTGAGCGGTTAGCAGCTCGGCAAGAAGCAACAAACTGGTGCAAGCCAGGTCTGAATGTACCAGCCCTGTGGTTTCCATTCCCTTCCCTTCCCTATATTCGGTGTGTTGTCACTTCCTGTTATGAATGAACTTGTCAGAGTGCGCAGATATCGAATAACGAGAATGAGAATTACAGAATGACGAAACAATGAAGTAGCGAGGCCTAAATAGGGGAAATCCTAGCTAGGCGAAGAGGTAGGGCGAAGATGGCTCGGTGATGGTTGCGATTGGTGCGGAGCCGCTTCGGGAGTGGTTCGGTGCGACGAATTAGGCCGAACAGGTTCGTCGCGTGTCCTTCGGGATGTACTCGCTAAAGTGCGAGTACAGTAAGGAATTGTAATTCCTTACACTTCCTGTGTGTGTCTACAGTTGGTTGATGGGATCCAATCTACCAGTATAATAAATGAATCCATTCTTCACACGGTGCATGTACCGCCGGCACTGCAACGAGAGTTCCATCTAACTACTCCCATTTATGAGCATCTCAAGGGCACAAGATGCGCCCTGCGTTGATGCACCACATTTTATAGGCACCTACGGTATTAGGCCCGGCACAACCAGGCCAAAAAATTGTGTAGCAATTGACATGGCAAACGGACTTGTCAACCGCTGTATCACCCCGACCCCTGCACCCTGCACCCTGCACTGAACTCCGCACCACACACACTGCACCCTGCACAGCACATGCACGCCATGCCACGAGTGGCACAAGATGTGCCTCCCAGCGGCACAGCCTGCAGCTGACAACCCCATGGTCAGCAGTGCAGCCAGTACCATCCCCACCATTAACACCACCCCAACCACCATCACCACCATCATCCCCACCACCATCACCATCACCACCAATGCAGGAACTGCTTCCTTAAGTGCCCCTGGTGGCACATGAGAGGCTTGAGCTTGTTCCACCTCAACGCAAGCCCCCCTGATCCCCACAACCAGCAGTTGAAGCAGCATGGCGGTCAGAACCAGGGCCAGCAGGGCAGGGTGCAGAGCAGCGAGGAGAGCGAGTGCAGGTGGCGGCGGTCCATGTATCAGAAGCAACAGGCGCTGCATTCCTGAGTGCCCCTGGCGGCACATGAGCGTGCACTTGCTCCCTGCAACGCACTCCCCCCCTCCTCCTCCCCCCCCTCTCTCTCCTCAACCTCCCCTCCCCCCTTCCCCTACGCTCAAAGCCAGGGCCAGCAGGGCAGGGAGCAGAGCAGGGAGGAGAGCGAGTGCAGGTGGCGCGAGCGGTACGCGCGGTACAGCATCAGCGGCGTGCGCGGGGGCAGGGGGGGTGGGGCTCGCTGCCAGCGCTGCGAGGTGGGATCGCGCGTGAAGACCCGGGGGGCGCCACTGGGGAAGAGCGTGTCAGAGTCTGGTGACTGGGCTAGCAGGCGGTAGCAGCTGCGGATGAAGGGCAGGAAGTCGGGTCCCTCAGCCAGTGGCGATGTGGAGTTGGCGTGCAGCAGCTCGTGATCGGTCATGCTCAGCCGCTGCCGGGCCAGTGCTGCCGCATCCATGAGCCTGATGGGGGAAGGGGAGGAACAGGGGGGAAAGGAAGAACACGGGGGAAAGGGAGAACAAGGAAGGGGGGAACTGGGAAAGGTAAGAGACACAGAGTTGATGCACCTCAAAGTTATCATGAACAGGGTGAAAAGCTGCATGCACTCACGGATACAAACGAAATAGTAAGACAGGGAAGGAGGCACAGGATAAAACGATAGGTCACCGTGTTCCTACTAAGTGGGTGGGGATCGGCATTGTTCGTCCCATTCTACCTGGTGGGCGGCAGCACGAATCGGTCCATCTGAGTGTCGTAGAAGCGGGTGAGGCGGCCCTGCGGGCAGAGAGGGCCGCACAGAGCGGTGCAGAGCGGTGCCAGCGCGGCGGGGGGAAGGGTGGAGAGCAGAGAAGGGGAGGAAGCGAGCGGGGGCTGGGAGGGAGACGGCGAGGAGGAGGAAAGGAGAGGGGAGAATGAGGAGGAGAGGAGTGGGGAAGGGGAGGAGGAAGAGAGCGAGGAGGGAATGAGAGGGGAGGAAGAGGGAGTGCTGTGTGCGCGTGTGCTGGCAGTGCCAGTGCTGCCAGGAGTACCACCGCTAGCCGGACTGCCACCACCAGTGCACGCAGCAGCATCAGCAGGCCTCCCGCTAGCCGGACTCCCCTTCTCAGGCGTGCACGGAGTGCCCTCCTCACACCGCCCCTCCTGCCTCTCCCCCTCTCGCTTCTCCTCCCCCCGCCCCTCCCCCACCAGCCGCTCCTCTTCTCCCTTCCCCCCTCCCCACAACCCACCCGCCTCCCCTTCCGCATCCCCCTTCCCCTCCTCCTCCCCCCCCTCCCCAAAGAAGAGCAGCACAGAGCGCAGCACAGCATCAGGTCCGCGCTCTTCAGGAGTGAATAGCCGCGGGGAGGCTTCCCCAGATGCCACGTGGACCGCCAGTCCGCGCGTGCGGGGCACAGGCGCGCGGCGGGAGGGGTCCCAAGTGGTGTTGAGGGGGAGCAGCGCGAGCGTGCAGAGGCGGAAGGGGCGGGGGAGCGCGTGCAGCGCGGACACCAGCGCGCAGGCCACGGGGAGGGACGTGCCCGCGGGGAGAGGGGGGGCGAAGGGGGCGTTGTCCGCGCGGGAAAGGCTGTAGTAGAGGCTGCTGGGGGTGGCGGTGGGAAGGGGAGGGAGGAGAGAAGACGGAGGAGGGCGCGGTGGAGGAGAGGAGAGGTGCAGAGGCGTGTGGTGGCGGTGTGGGGTGGCATCCAGGTGCAAGGGATGCATGGGGGGTGTGGCTTGGCATGGCGATGCTGCTGCCTCGGGGCTCATTGGATCGCCACGTGGCCAGGCGCTGCTGCAATGCGCGCTTCCCGTTATTTCTTTTGCTCCCGGTTCCGCTCCTGGCCCTGCGCGCACGCCCCTGTCACTCCCGCCACTGCCTGCAGGGCTGAGGGCTCGCCTGCGCTTGCACCCTGACTGCCGCCCGCTGCTGCCACCCTCCTGGTCACCCTGCTGCTGCTGCTCTTGTGATTCCTCATGCCGCGTGCGCTCTCGCTCCTGCCTCTCCTGCTCCTCCTGCCACGCGGCGTGGATGCTCTCTGTGTGCCCCGGGTCGTCGTCAAACGCGCCCACCACGTGCAGCTGCGCGGGGGGCAGTGGGGCAGAGGGGCACGGTCGGATGGGCAGAGGAGGGCAGCACCGGCGGGAGACAGGGAGAGGAAATGAGAGGCAGGGAAAAGGACGGCAGGGAGGAGAGGGAGAGACGGGATGCAGTGCGGAGGCATGGCAGTGGATGCAAACGAGCGAGAGTAAAGCGCGGCAGGGGGAAGAGGCACAGAGGAGGGCAGCAAGGGGGCATGGCTATACACGTGCAGCACGCATGCCAGTCCGCACACGGGAGCATGCGCCTGCGGCGCCATGCCATGCCTGCAGCGCCACACCCACACGCACGCCATACTTTTGAGGCGCCTAAAAAAACAACGCCACACCCACACGCACGTCATACCTGCAGGGGAGTAGGGTCGTGCGGGGCGAGGCGCAGCGAGGCGAGCATGGCGGCGAGCGCGCGCAGGGCGCAGAGCGACGCGTCCACGTGCGCGAGCGCCGTGCGCCCCGTGCGCGGATGGCGCAGCGCCACCGCCACACACGTGGTCATCTCGTCCGTGCCTATAACGTCAACCAGGTCCACGTCAGCAGTTGCCACCTCAGCTTGCGCCACGTATACCAGCCGCTCCGGCCGTCCCTGCTGCGCCTCACCCCCATCCGCCTTCCTTGCGCCCTCTTTCCCGCCAACTCCCGCCCCACCGCTCCCCTCCGATTCCGCGCGCGCTCCCTCCCCCCGTCCGAGCTTGTGCGCACCCTCCCCCTCACCGTGCCGATTTAGGCGTTCGAACAAGCCGCCCTCCGCCCCATTCCATGCCGCTTCCTCCGCTGCTGCTGGCGCTACTGCTTCTCCCGCTGCGCCTGCCGCGCATTCTTCCCCTGCGCGCGTGGTGGCAAGCGGCAGCGCGGCATTGCGCTCACCGTTACAGCCGTCAGCAGTGCTACCAGCAGCCCCGCTACCAGCAGCGTATCCTCCAGCTATCCCCGCTGCAGCATCACGCGCTTTAAGCACAGTCGCACTCAAACTGCGCCAAATCGCGCGAGGCAGCCCATCACTGCCTGCATCACACGTGTCAGCAGCAGATTCCGCGCCACGTGGCGCTCCGAGGGAGCGACTCCCCGCGCCGCCCAGAAGGTCCCGCTGCCGGCGCATCCACTCGCCCCCTCCGCCCTCCCGCCCTCGGCACACCGAGATCCCGCTACCAGCATCGGCGCCGCAAATGCCGCCGCCACACGCGGCGCTGATACCGCTGTCACGGCCAAACGCGTCTTGCCGCTTCCCCATTCCCCCCTCCCCCGCGCTTCCTTGCGCCTCCGCGCATCTAAGATTCCCCCCCTCGACTGCCAACGTACACGTGGCGGCTTGCTCTGCGCATGCGCAAGCCAAGCTGGAAGGGCGCGATTCCCCGGTGTTTGCGCCGGGGTGTGCGGAAGGAGTGGCGGCAGAGGAAAGAGTTGCCGGTGGGGGGTGTCTGAGGGTTGACCGTGTTGCCGGCTGGCCGGCAGCGTGACTGTCGGACAAACGATCGTCGCTGCCGCATGCCGGCCGCGCGTTTTCCTCTCCTTCCTCGTGCTTCGCTCGGCACGGACCAGGTTCGGGGCCGGTTCCCGAGCCTGAGCGACTGGTTCGGCGAAAAAACTCCTCCGAACCGGCGACGAGGCTCGGGTGAGTGAGGAGGTAACGGAGCAGCGCCGTGCCCTGTGCGGTGCGGGAATCGCGCGCACGGCGCAGGGCGGGGTGGGGAAGAGAGGGAAAAAGGGGAGAAATGGGAGTGGGGGGAAGAGAGGGGAGCGGAAGAAGGGAAACGGGGGGGACGGGGGGGATGGGGGGGGGGGGTGGACGGTGGAGGGGATTGAGTGAGTTGAAAGCGGGAGGCGACGACGGACACGGGCGCACTGACGGACACGCGGCTATTGCTGGACTGTCACTGCAGCGAGCGCGGCGGAAAGAACGGCCCGAGACGTGCAGCGGAGCGCGACGCGCGCGCAGCGACCGACAAAAGTGGGACTAGAGTGGCGCACGGGCCAAATACAAGAATAGAGCGGAAGCAGGTTTAGGTGCCGACGCCATGCTAACTTAGACGCGCTCCCGTAGAGGACAAGCGCACGTACCGCGAGATTTCGCGGAACCGGCTGGTTGTCTATAATCAGCATCGCAGCGCCTCGTGTGAGTCCGCGATGCCAGGCTGAGTACTATGAGCGCGTCTCACGCACTGATGGTCTAGGCTACGGGACTATGGCGTCACGAAGGTAAAGCACATATACAGCCTATACAAAACGTAAGAGCTTGAAGCGTAGACTATCCACTACCGAACCATGCTGCTCCTCCGATCGCTGCCACAACGGCGAGAGACACAGCCACACGATAATGACACGATGCTGCATTGGAACTCGATTCTATGTGAAGGGGGAAGGAGGAAGGACAGTAGGCATCAGAGCCAGTTGCAGCACGGATGACAAGGCCTGGAAAACAACCCTCAGCCGACACACATTCAGGAAAACAGTGACGAGTAATCGGCTATGGCGGCAGGGAGGGTGGAGGCTGGTGAGGAAAGCGTGGATGATAAGTTTGGAAGGCAGGATTTGCAGAGCGGTGCGAACATCTGAGCAGAAGAGAAGGGCAAAGCGAGAGAGGGGAGAAGCTACTGTGGGCCTGGGAGGGCGTGGGCGACCAGAATCGACTGGGTCAGGTTTGAGGAAGAGGGGGATTTGCCGTGTGGTGGGCGACAACGCATCGAGTCGAGTCAACGTGGTTTCGGTTTCTCGCAGGTAGGACCGAACGAAGGGTACTGCTGCTGGCGGTACGCGGAAGGCAAGGGACGATTTGGAAACAGCAAGGCGCAAGCGACTGCTGCGATTTGCTCGTGGTGGTGAGCGGTGAACGCCCGTGGACTTGTCGCGGAAGCCAGGGTGAACGATGCGAGACAGGTCGCACGGAGTCGTGGAGAGGAAGCGGGGACGGTCGCAATTGCAGCTGGCGACCATGCGAACAGTACGCGATTTCGATGTTGTGTTGGAAAACCTGGCTGGCGATACACCTGCGCCCTGACTACGACTCTATTCGTCATTGTCACAGCGCGAGTGCGCCAGCCAATAGGACCCTAAGCATTCGATACGAGCGGTGTGACGTTCGGCCGACGTGCGAAGGACCACTCAAAATTCGTCGACACCTGATATAATGGCGAGAGGCAGCACAGTCACACCTGGCGACCGAGAGAACTATCATTACTCACCTGTTTAGAGTAAAACAATACCAGCCACATATTCTATACAACAAAACTAGACTATACATGGATTAATGATGTATCCTGATATTGAATTTCTGAAAAATATATATAATAAAATCAATTATTTAACTCAAAATATTATGTCTGTATATTATTGGCCACGAACTGTAACACTTCATTATCTCCAGTTCAATATATACCGTAGATGCTGAGGAGATAGATGTGTGTCCTATATCGGAGCTGTCCCATAGCGAGCATATCGAAGCTGTCATGCATGCCATGTGCGAGCCAATCCCTAGGAAGGGCGCTGGGCAGCACAATGCCCGCCAATGTGGTTCCCTGATGGGCATGCGATCGTGTGCGTGCGGCAGGGGGTTCTTGGGTGACACTGTGACACGGACATCCCGTCCTGGCAGGAGGCAACTGAGGTGTGCTAGTCCATCAGCACTTGCTCATTTCCTCTCTTTTTTTTGCAGAAGCAGAGCAGTATTTCCTTTTCTACGAATTCTTTCCGTTAAAGCAGCCTTTACTCAACGTTCATGGGGCCTAAGAAGGGCAAGCGAGGCGGAGGCGCAGGCGGAGGCGCTGGCGGAGGTCGCGGGGAAGGGCAAGCTGGCGCGCCGAGGTAACGGCTCGTTCGCAGCGCTTTTCTTTTAACTCCGTCGTCGCCTATTCCAGCTCGCTATCTTTCCTCGAATTTCACTTGCTTTTAAGAGAAATCTCTGTCGCGGTCGTTGCCATGACACGCTGTGACTTGCGCACTTTTTTAAGAACCACGAGTGAAATACTAAGATGCGTGCCATTGTCCCTTCGCGCTCGCCTCCCTTCGCATCGCCGGCGTTGTCATGGCACGCTCTGTCTTGTCGAATTACGAATCAAATATTATTGTACACGTCATTGTGGGTCCCACCGGTATCTTCCTCCCGTTGCACTCGCTTCCCTGCGTGCAGCGCAGCACCACCGGCGTCTGCAGCGCCGTCTCAGCCGCCCGCGGCGGGCAGAGGCGCGCCGTCTCCCGCAGGAGGAGGTTGGGGGGGGAGAGGTGCGCCCGGAGGGGGAAGGGGCGCGCCGCCAGGGGGAAGGGGTGGGCCCGCTCCCGCAGGAGCACCGGGGGGAGCGGGAGCCCCTGGCGCAGGCGGAGGGCGCGGACGCGGAGGCCGCGGGCGGGGAGGACGCGGAGAGCAGGCGCAAGGAGCGGGCGGGGTTGGGGGCATCATCGCAGGCATGGCGCAGATGGGTGTGTCCGCGCCTCCCGCGGATTTCCCCGCGCTCGCACCTGCGCGTGCCCCCGCCCCTACCCCCGCGCCTGTTGCCCCTACTCCCGCGCCTATGCCCGCTGCTATTGCGCGCGCGCCGGCACCTGCTGCTCCTGCGCCTGCCCCCGTACCGGCGGCGCCCGCGCCCGTAGCGGTTGCGCCGCCGGCAGCAGCGGCGGGCGTGGCGGTGACGATGGCGGGGCCTGCAGGCGTGTCGAGCAGGGCGCTCGTGGCGGCGGCGCGGCCCGGGTTCGGCAAGGCGGGGCGGCCCGTGATGCTGCTGGCCAACCACTTCAAAATCGACTTCCAGGTGCGCGCAGGGGGAGGGGGGCAAGGGGGAAAGGAGGGGGGCCGAGAGGGTGGGAAGGCAGGCAGATCGGTGCAAAGTGCGTTTGTCTGTGATGCTCTCGCCCCTTCCCTGGGCATCCGTCTCGTCCAATCTTGCTCTCCTCTCGTTCTGTATCCCTTGCATCCTTTGCTCTGCTCGCGTTGCTGCCCCCAACCTGCCCGTACTGCCACACACTCTTTGCCTGTCCAACCTCTCCCCCCCAGGACTTAGTCATCTATCACTACGACGTGGACTTCTTTCCCGTTCGCTCCTCCAAGGGCGTCATGTGCACTACGGGACCCGCTCGTCCACACGCCCCTTCCTTCCCATTCACCTCCCTTCCTCTCCCTCCTTTCCTTTCCCCTCACGCCCTTCCCCTTTCGCTTCGCCCTTCTTCCTCCCCCCCCCAGGACCTGGTCATCTACCACTACGACGTGGAATTCTCCCCCGCGCTCGCCTCCAAGGGCGTCATGCGCGCAGCCATCCGCCAGCTGGCGGAAACCTACAGCGCGCAGCTCGTCTCCCCCGCTCCTGGCGGCGCCCCCAGCGCCCCCGTGCGCCCCGTCTTTGACGGCATGAAGAACATTTTCACTGCCCGGCCGCTGCCATTCGACAGCCAGGAGTTTCGCGTGGTGCTTCCCGAAAAAGACGAAGGGGCAGGGGCGGGGAGAGGCGGCGGAGGAGGCGGGGGGAGGGGAGGTAGCAGCAGTGGTGGTGGGCGCGGGCGCGGAGGGGGGGAGCGGAGGGAGCGGGCGGTGAAGGTGACGGTGAAGCTAGCCCAGCAGTACCCCATGTCGTCCATGGCCTCGTTTCTTCAAGGGCGCCAGGCCGACATCCCTCAAGTGCTGCTTCAGGTGTGCTTTGAGTTGACTGACCCAAAACACAGATGAGGGTGCAGCTGGCCCAGCAGTACCCCATGTTGCCCATGCCTTCCTTTCTGCAGGGCCGCCAGGCTGACATCCCACAAGTGCTGCTGCACTGCAGGTGCGGTGCACTGCTGCTGCCATGGTCGGTCGCCACTTTGCATCAACTCTTCCCTCCCCGTCACTTGTCCCCGTCACTTGTCCCCGTCACTTGTCCCCGTCACTTGTCCCCGTCACTTGTCCCCGTCACCTGGAGGGGCGACGCGGACAGAGACCGCGGTCGTCTCTGTCCCCATCCCCATCACCTTCACCGTCCCTCTCACCTTGGCCGCACCTCCTCCCCGCTTGTCCTGATCGCATCCCTCTTTCTCTTCCACTTCTTCGCTTCGCCCCTCCAGGCACTCGACGTGGCGCTGAGGGAGCGCCTCCTCACCAGCCTCACTCCGGTGGGTCGCTCGCTCTACTCCGCCTCGCTCGGCAGCACAGCGCTGGGCGGCGGGGTAGCGGCGTACCGCGGCTTCTTCCAGTCCGTGCGCTTCTCCCAGCAGGGCCTGGCACTCAACGTCGACATGGCCGCCACCGCTTTCCACCACGACATGCCGCTCCTCACCTTTGCGGCTGACTTTCTCGGGCGCGGAGGGGGTGGGGGCGGGGGTGGGAGAGGCGGAGGGAGGGGTGGGTATGGGGGGAGGGGTGGGCGGGGCGGGGGAGGGGGCGGGGGAGGCGGGTTTGCGCCGAATGCGTCGCTGAGTGATGGGGAGAGAGTGAAGCTGAAGCGTGCGCTGCACGGCATCAAAGTGGGCGTCACTCACCGCGACACGCCCCGCCGGTGAGTGCCCCTGCTACGCCTACCGTGTTGTTGTGGCCCTGTTCCTCACCACTCATCTGGACTGCGAAGGATCTTCTTCTTCCCAGCCCCACTCCCTCTCCCTCTCTACTTGCCGTCCCCCCCTTCTTCCCCCCCGTCCCCCAACCCTTTCCGGTCATACACACTTCCGTGTATCTCGTCACTGTCCCTCTGTCCCTCCGCTCGTCCGCCCCTCCACAGCCATCCACCCACCCCTCCACCATCTCCCCCCCTCTTCCCATGCAGGTACCGCATTCAGGGCCTCACACGTGAGCCAGCACATGCCCTCACCTTCACCATTGAAGGGCAGGGGGGGACATCCCTGGTGGCATATTTTCGCTTTCACGCCTCCACTTCTCCATCGCTCCACACTTGTCCATCCCTCCCCCCTCCCCGCCCCTCCCCCCTCCCCGCCCCTCCCCCCTCCCCGCCCCTCCCCCGGTGCAGGTACCGCATTCAAGGCCTCACGCGCGAGCCAGCCCATGCGCTCACCTTCACCATAGAAGGGCAGGGGGAGACCTCCCTGGTGGCATATTTTCGCTCCGCCTACGGCTACACCATCCGCCACCCCAACCTGCCGTGCGTCATGGCGGGCGGCGGCGGCAAGAGCTATCTGCCAATGGAGGTGTGCCACATCATTGGCGGGCAGCGGTACGGGCCGAAGCTGAATGAGGAACAGGTCAGCAGCCTGCTGCGCTTCACGTGCACTCGGCCGGACGTGCGGGCGGGGGAGATTGGGAGCATGGTGGTTCGCAATGACTACCCCAAGTGAGTATGCTGTGTGGCGAGTGATGCGAGCTGCTGAGGTGTGCTGCACTGCGCTGGGCCAGACCCAGCTGACTGAAAGGCCTTGCACGGCTGCGTGTCTTGGCCAGTGCTGTGCTTGATGATGCCACCCACCCACCATTCCCTGCTTTTCGCCATGCCCATGCTAACCGTTGTCTCGCTGTCTCGCTGTCATCCCAGTCCTTCCCTCACTCGGGTTGCTGCCATCATTCCCCCCCAACTCTTCAACAACCTCTCCCCCTCTCATCGCTTCCCTCTTTCCTCCCCCCCCCCACCCACACCCTCTTCCAGCGACCCCGACGGCCGTGAGTTTGGCATGGTGGCGCATTTCGAGATGGCACGCCTGCACGTCTGCCTTTCTTTTTCTCCCTCTCACCGTCTTTTCTTCTTCGTGCTCCCCCACCTACCCTCTCCCCCTTCTCCCCCCCCCTTCTTTCCTCCCTCCCCCCGCCCGCTCTTCTCCCCTTCTCCACCCCCCATGCGGCGACCCCTACGTGCGAGAGTTGCGCATGTTGGTGCAGCCCGACATGACGCGCCTGCACGGCTGCCTTTGTCACACACTCTCTCTCTGCGCTTCCCTGCTTCGTGTTCCCCACCCCACCCCCCCACCCCCCCCCCCCCCCTTTCCTTCCCCTCCACCCTCCCTCGTCCCCTTCAATGCAGCGACCCCTATGCGCGTGAGTTCGGCATGCTGGTGCATCCCGAGATGACGCGCCTGCAGGGCCGCCTGCTGGAGCCGCCCCGCCTCGTGTACAAGGATAAGAAGGACGTGCGTGCACGCGCTGAGGGGGGATGGGGGGGGGTGTGGGGAATTGGGGGGATAGGAGGTGTGTATGTCTGCAGGGCCGCCTGCTTGAACCACCCCGCCTCGTGTACAAGGATAAGAAGGACATGCGTGCACGCGCAGAGGGGGGAAGGGGGGGGCTGGGAATGGGGGCTGTGGGAGGGTGGATGGATGGGGTAAGTGCCAGCCAGGGTGCGTGTTGGACCCCCCCAGCCTAGTGTATGACAAGGAGGATGTGCCCCTCTATTGCTTTCTTCCCCATCACTTGCTGTCTCTCCCCGCTCGCACCCACCTCTCCCTTTCCCTCCTCTCCCCCCCGCCCTCCCCTCCTCTCCCCCTCCCAACTACACCAGGTGGTGCCGCGCTTTGGAGCGTGGAACATGATGGGGGGGCAGAGGCTGATAGACGGGGCGCGCATAACGCACTGGACCATCATCAACTTCGCCCCCTACCTCGACGCCATGGGCGTGCAGCGCTTCGGCCAGGCCCTCACGCAGCGCTGCGCTGAGCTGGGCGTGCATGTGAGTTAATAGGAGCCAGTCAACGCCAGTCAACGCCAGTCAAGGGTATTAACTTGGGCCCCTACCTCGACGCCATGGGCGTGCAGCGCTTCGGCCAGGCCCTCACGCAGCGATGTGCTGAGCTGGGCGTGCAGGTGAGTCATTAGGAATGAACGCGAGGCAATAAGAGTTTTAGAATTTTCCAGTGCGTGTGGTGTGGTGTGGTGTGGATGCATGTCCAGCGCAGTCAAGGTCCTCGTGCAGCACTGCGCTGAGCTGGGCGTGCAGGTGAGTCAGCAAGAGTCAATGCGGGAGTCAATGGGAGTCAAGATGGGAGGCATGGGGGATAGTGGGGCACCGGGTTCGATGGGATTTGACAGGGAGCAACACAATAATTCCAGTACTGTCAGCACAGAAACCCTCACTTGTCCTTCCTCATTCTCTCGTTCCGTCTTGCTTCTCCTTTCCCTCCTTCCCCCCTCCGCCCCTCCTCTCCTCATCCCCACTTCTGTCTTATGTCATCTCGCTTCCGCCTTCCCCCCTTCCTCCTTCCGTCACTCGCTTTTTTCCCACTTTTATCCCTTCACACCTGTCTCTCTTCTCCCTCCCCCTGTCCACCCCCCACTCCCGCTCCCCTCATCAGTTGGAGCTGTGCCTTGTGCTGCCGCCCCTGACGGGCCGAGTGGAGGCGGTGGAGGCGGTCATGCGCCAGCTGGAATCATCATCACCATCTCGCTTATCCCGGCCCCCCTTTCCCCTCCCTCCCCTTCCCTTCAGATGGAGCCGCGCCCGGTGGTGCCGCCCCTGACGGGGCGGGTGGAGGCGGTGGAGGCGGTGATGCGCCAGCTGGCGGACGCTAGCAGCCGAGCGGTGCCCCCCGGGCAGTGGCTGCAGCTGGCCGTGGTGATTCTGCCGGGCCGAGGCACGTTCTACAATGAGATCAAGCTGATCGCTGAGACGCAGCTGAACGTGGTCACGCAGTGCTGCCTCGTGAACCACGCTCACAAGTGAGTCCTTCCTTGTGTGAATGACGCACAGCAGATAGTCAATGAGGGTAATTGGTGGTGATGGGCACGCTGTACAACGACATGAAGCCGATCGCTGAGGCACAGCTCAATGTGGTTCCTCAGTGCTGCCTTGTGAGCCACGCTCACAAGTGAGCCGGGGGAATTGGTGGTGGTATGGCGTGGCGAGGCACGTTGTAGAATGAGATCACACAACTCAACCTTATCACTCACATGCTTGCTGCTGCGATGCCAGCAGCTGTCCTGTGCTCTTCATCCCATCTTGCATCACCTCCCTCTCTTTCTCCTCTGCCCACACACCCCCCCCCCCTCTCCCCCAGGTGCCAGTCGCAGTACCTGGCGAACCTGGTGCTCAAGATCAACGTGCTGCTGCAATCCCCATCCACGAGTCGACTCACACAAGTCAGCCTCTTAGTGTTCCCTCCACCCCTCCTCGTATCACCTCCCGCTGCTCCCCCTCTCCCCCAGGTGCCAGTCGCAGTACCTGGCGAATCTGGTGCTCAAGATCAACGTGAAGCTGGGGGGGCGCAACGTGCTGCTGCAGTCACCATCCTCCCACCCATCACCACCCTCCCTCTCCACCCTTTCCCCCGCTTCCCCTGTTTCCCCTCTTTCCCCCCTTCCCCCCTTGACCCCCCAGGTGCCAGTCACAGTACCTGGCCAACCTGGTGTTGAAGATCAACGTGAAGCTGGGCGGCCGCAACGTGCTGCTGCAGTCAGAGAGCATCGGCCGCCTGCCCATGGTGGCGGAGCGCCCCACCATTGTGTTCGGCGCCGATGTGACGCACCCCAGCCCGGGAGATGATTCGTCTCCTTCCATCGCTGCTGTCGTCGCTTCTCGGGTAGGTGGGGGAAAAGGGACTGTTGAGTGTCACCAGGAGGCCATGGGTCGTCTCCCCATGGTAGCCGAGCGCCCCACCATTGTGTTCGGGGCCGATGTGACCCACCCCAGCCCGGGGGACGATTCCTCGCCCTCCATCACTGCTGTCGTGGCGTCCCGGGTGAGTGCTGTTGTGGACTGTTGAGCCAACTCAGAAGGCACAACATGCTGCGACAGTCGGAGGCCATGGTCGTCTCCCCATGGTGGCGGAGCGCCCCACCATTGTGTTTGGCGCTGACGTCACTCACCCCAGCCCAGGGGACGATTCCTCTCCTTCCATCGCTGCTGTTGTCGCCTCCAGGGTAAGTGCTGTTGTGGACTGTGTTGAGTCAACTCAGAGACCGAAACGTGCTGCTACAGGGAGAGGCAATAAGCCGTCTCCCCATGGTGGCGGAGCGCCCCACCATTGTGTTTGGCGCCGATGTCACGCACCCCAGCCCGGGGGATGACTCCTCTCCTTCCATTGCTGCTGTCGTCGCCTCCCGGGTAGGTGGGGGGAAAGGGAACGTTGAGTGGTATGATTGGGCTATTGGGCGTGTGCCCATGGTGGCGGAGCGTCCCACCATTGTGTTCGGTGCTGACGTCACGCACCCCAGCCGGGGGGACGATTCCTCGCCCTCCATTGCCGCTGTCGTCGCCTCTCGGGTGGGTTGGGTGGGAGAGGGTACTGTTGAGGTGACTGAGAAGGCACAACGTGCTGCAGTCGGAGGCCATGGGTCGTCTCGCCATGGTGGCTGATCGTCCCACCATCGTGTTCGGGGCCGATGTGACCCATCCCAGCCCGGGGGATGACACATCGCCCTCCATTGCTGCTGTTGTCGCCTCCCGGGTGAGTTAGGGGGGAGGGGGGAGGGAAAGGGACTGTTGAGTGTCATCAGGAGGCTATAGGCTGTCTCCCATGGTCGCTGAGCGCCCCACCATTGTGTTCGGCGCTGATGTCACCCACCCCAGCCCGGGGGATGACTCCTCTCCTTCCATTGCTGCTGTTGTCGCCTCCCGGGTGAGTGCTATTGTGGACTGTTGAGTTGGTCGAGAGGCTGTAACATGCTGGCCGATTGCCCCACTTGGCGCTGATGTCACGCACCCCAGCCTGGGGGATGACTCCTCTCCTTCCATTGCTGCTGTTGTCATCTCCCATGGTGGCGGAGCGTCCCACCATTGTGTTCGGTGCTGACATCACGCACCCCAGCCCGGGGGACGATTCCTCGCCCTCCATCGCCGCTGTTGTGGCGTCCCGGGTGGGTTGGGAGGGTGAGAGGAAGGAGGGGGTGGGGGGCAGAAAGACATGGCGTGTGTTGCTGCATGCTTGCATGGATGGGTGTCCCGCACTGACGGCGTGTTGGTCTCAAGACATACTTCCCATTCAACAGTCGAACCCTCCATGCCTCGCCTTTCACTCTCCTTCCCCTTTCTGTCCCTCCACACATCTTTCTCTCCCCTTCTCCCCCTTCAGGACTGGCCGTGTGCGAACCGCTATTGCTGTCTGCTGCGCACGCAGGCGCACCGGCAGGAGATGATAGAGGGGCTGCACGAGGAGCGGCGGATGGAGAAATTTTTAGCCCGTCTGTTAATCAGCTTGTTACTCGCCCCACACAACCACCCGCCCCTCTCCTTCTCAGGACTGGCCGTGTGCGAACCGGTACGGGTGTCTGCTGCGCACGCAGGCGCACCGGCAGGAGATGATAGAGGGGCTGCATGAGGAGAGGCGCGGGGCGGACGGCAGCGTGCAGGCGGGCGGGTTGGTGCGCGAGCTGCTGATGGAGTTCTATCAGACCGCCAAGCGCAAGCCTGAGCGGATTATCTTCTTCAGGGACGGTGTTAGTGAAGGCCAGTTCTACCAGGTATGTTTGGAGTGGTGCCTTGCAGTGCAATGCGGTCCAGTGCGGTGCTGTGCGGTGGGTGCAAGCAGGCGGCGGGCTGGTGCGCGAGCTGCTGATGGAGTTCGACCAGACCGCCAAGCGCAAGCCCGAACGGATCATCTTCTTTAGGGACGGTGTCAGTGAAGGGCAGTTCTACCAGGTGTGTTCAGAGCGTGTACAGTGCAGTCTAGTGCTGTCCAGTGCGGTGGGTGCAGGCAGGGGGCCTGGTGCGCGAGCTGCTGATGGAGTTCTACCAGACCGCCAAGCGCAAGCCGGAACGCATTATATTCTTCAGGGACGGTGTCAGTGAAGGCCAGTTCTACCAGGTATGTTCAGTGCAGTGCAATGCAGTCCAGTGCGGTGCTGTGCGGTGGGTGCATTCAAGCAGGGGGGCTGGTGCGCGAGCTGCTGATGGAGTTCGACCAGACCGCCAAGCGCAAGCCCGAGAGGATCATCTTCTTTAGGGACGGGGTCAGCAAGGGGCAGTTCTACCAGGTGCGTTCAGAGCGGTGTGCTGCAGTGCAATGGGTGCAGGTGGGCGGGCTGGTGCGTGAGCTGCTCATGGAGTTCTACCAGACCGCCAAGCGCAAGCCAGAGCGAATTATATTTTTTAGGGATGGTGAATGCCAGTTCTACCAGGTGCGTGCACTGTGGTGCTGTGCGGTCCAGTGCAGGTCCTGCCTGCATCACCACGTCCTACCCCTCTCCACCTCAATCACTCCCCCCCTCCCAACAACCCCCCCAGGTGCTGGCCTACGAGCTGGAGGCAGTGCGAGCAGCGTGCAGGGCCATGGACCCGTCGGGCAGCTACAGCCCGCGCATCACGTACGTGGTGGTGCAGAAGCGGCACCACACGCGGCTGTTCCCCGCTGACAACAACCGCGACAAGAACGGCAACGTCATGCCGGGGACAGTCGTGGACTCGGTCATCTGCCACCCGCGCGAGTTTGACTTCTTCCTCAACTCGCACGCATCCATCCAGGTGGCTACTGCTGCCCACTTGTCATTCATGTCGCGCCTCCGTTTGCTCAATGTGTCGCCCTTTCCGCTGCTCCACGCTTCCCTCCAAACCCCCTCACCTTCTCTCTCCTTGCCACTGGTATCAACTGTCTCTCCACGTGTCATCCGCTCCACCTTCGCCAAAGTGAGTCATTAATCACCCCTCTCTCAACCCCCTTCTTCCGCATCCTCACGCTGTACCTCCCCCACCCAGGGCACGTCACGCCCAACGCACTACCGAGTGTTGTGGGACGAGAACAGCTTCACAGCCGACAGCATGCAGGCGCTCTGCTACTCCCTCTGCTACACCTACGCGCGCTGCACGCGCTCCGTCTCCCTCGTGCCGCCCGCCTACTACGCTGACCTGGCGGCCACGCGCGCGCGCCTCTACCTGGAGGGCATCTCGGGCAGCATGCGGGGGAGCGGGTCCGAGAGTGGGTCGGCAGCCGGCCGAGCGGCAGGGGGAGGCGAGGTGGCGGGGTCGGGTGGCACGGGGAGCTCCAGTGGGTCGTCCAGGGTGGGGGGGGCGCCGCCTGTGGTGCCGCTGCCAGTGGTCATGCCTGTCCCCAGGAAGGGCATGTTCTTCTGCTGACTGCCTCCCTGCTCAGGCCTGCTCCTTGCCTGCCCGACTCCTTCCTGAGCCGTGGTCTTTGGCCGGCCACCTCCCTGCCGTGTTTGCGGTGGTCTTTACGCTGGTCTTTCATAGTGTGCTGCATGTTGCCTTCACTGGCTGGTGCTCTGTCATGCAGTCTGCGACACAGGGATGGGATGGGATGGGATGGGATGTGAGCCGTGGATGGGATGGAGGCTAGACTTGTCAAGGCCAGCAGTGGCTCGGGTTTGTGGCCTAATGCTGCCATGAGCATGGCTTTGTACATTTGACTTCCACCTGTTTCTTGTACAGTTGAGCTACCTTGTGCTGTGGTGTTTTTGGGTGACGGTGCTGTACTAAAACTGTGCTGCTACTTCGTGCATTTGTAATTTCAATCGTTCGATACGGTATGATAGCTGACATGATAGTAGCGTAGATGTTATGTTCGTTGGATCACGTGTCATGTAGACAAGTAATCATTCACGAGATCATGTGCACCGAATAATGAGCTTAGGGCTGCAAACAGTGTGCTAGGTAAGAACAACTTCGGTGCAGAGAGTACCTCCTCGTATGCAATGCAACCCTGCTACCACCATCCAGGGCTTGGCAGCTGAAACTTGAGTTAGTGCTTGCACACACTCCTAATGAGGCATGCCCAGAGATTTTATTTACTTGCACAATCATATGCAGTGTACGAAGCTCATGCGTTGCTGCAGTACCTATGAAATGCATGAGTGCGTTTTACCACATCAACCCCGATTTCTTTAATCATGCGAAGGCTAGGATCATTTGCATGAATTATATGCTGACACAATTGGATTGACGATATTGGGGAAGGAAAATGAGAAGAACTAGTCAATCTTGCTCATACTCTGCTGTTAAAAACGTTTATGTTGAAGAAAGCTGTATTGAAGATAATGTGCATGTTTATACTGGAATTATGGATGTTTGGTGTTGGTGTACGTTTTCTTATCAACAGCAAACATCGGTATCTCATCTCGGGTTTTCGTCAAAATTTTCGCTCCGTAACTGTTTCGTACGCTGCAATCCTGAGCACGACTTCTCCCAAACACGCGATTGTGTCAATGCCAAGCAGGTTGCCCGAGTGGTCTCAAACGAATCCTACGTGCGGCGAGTAATTGGTTTTCGCATTCTATCGACGCTTCTCATTGGCTGGGCGAATCGACGTTATCCAGCACTGGCTCGCTGCTGGTGGCCCCCCCAATCTCCTCCCCGCCACTCCCCGTTTGCCCTCCCACCTCGCTGCTCCCATCGGCCCTCCAGGATATCCCTTTCTCCTCCGACCTTCAGCAGTGCTGTCTGTGTCTGACCCTAGAATCCACATTCTCGGACTCTGACGCCATGGCCGCCGTTGCTACCCGTGCCCTCGCCTCCGCGCCGGTTGCCTTCGAGGCTACCCGCCAACGCCTTGTCGCCGGCAAGGCCCTGCGCTCCGCTGTCCCTGCCGTCACTGCTGTGCGCGGCCAGAGGCTCGTTGCTCGTGCAAGCCTTGAGAAGGTGAAAAGTTGATTCACATTAGCCGGAGTTTATGAACCACAACGCCTGCTGTACTTGTTCCTCCGAAGTTAACGAACGTATAGCTGACATTGTCACCCTCGCATTTCCCGCATGTTTATTGCAGCCCCCTCGCCAGACCTACTTCGCCTCCCCCCAGTCCCTGAGCTACCTCGATGGGACCCTCCCCGGCGACTTCGGCTTCGACCCCCTTGGCCTGTCCGACCCTGAGGGTGCCGGTAACTTCATCGACCCCAAGTGGCTCACCTACGGCGAGCTGATCAACGGCCGCTGGGCTATGCTCGGTGTTGCCGGCATGATCGCTCCCGAGATCCTCGGCAGCTACGGCATTGGCCCCAAGATTGTGTGGTTCCAGTCCGGTGTGATTCCCCCTCTTGGCGGCTACGAGTACTGGGCCGATCCCTATGCTCTGTTCGTCCTCGAGATCGTCCTGATCGGCTTCGCCGAGCACAGAAGAGCTCAGGACTACTACAGTAAGTACCCTTCTGTCGTGTGCCAACTGTCCTCCATGTTCATATTACCTCCTACCATGCACCTTTCTTCCGTCGTTTCCGTGCAAACACTGACCTTGATTCCTTTCGTTAATGGCAGAGCCCGGCTATGGCTCCAAGCAGTACCTGCTGGGTCTTGAGAAGGTTCTCGGCGGCTCCGGCGACCCCATCTACCCCGGCGGCCCGGTCTTCAACTTCGCTGGCCTGGGCAAGACTGAGGCGGAGATGTTCACCTACAAGACGAAGGAGGTCAGGAACTCCCGCCTTGCCATGCTCGCTGCCCTCGGCTTCTTCTTCCAGGCGTGGATCACCGGCGTGGGCCCGTACCAGAACCTGCTCGACCACTTGGCCGACCCCGTCAACAACAACATCCTCACCAACCTCAAGCTGCACTAAGCTGTTTATTCTCAATTTAAATGTAAAGATGTGAGATTTTTAATTACAAACCCAAATTGTGCATTATAGTACTGCTACTATCAAGTGCTTCAGAATGTGAGGCGAACCAACCAATATTCTGGAGTAAATGCTACGGAGCAAACGGGTGTTATATGCAACTGATCCAATACTCTGGTTGATAATTTGAAACCAATTTCAGTGGTAGCGTGCTTGTTACTCCCATCGTTCCACATCCTGAAGATTCCTTCCACAAGCTTGCTGCTGATAATGGCGTCTATTGGCACACTGGCAACCACGCCTGCGACACTCCGTCCCCTGCACCTCGGATCTAGGGCGAGCAGGATTCCAGTTCAAGCATGCAGAGGGGCCAGAATAGTCGCCAGAGCAAGCCCGAATAAGGTAAGGCTGCATGCAAGACAGACTAGGAATCACGCTGTATCACCAACAGGGTGCCTAATGCCGTTCTTCGATAAGCGCTCGTGCAGGATGATCGGCCAACCTGGTTCGCTTCATCCCAGTCGCTGACTTACCTTGACGGAAGGTCAGTCCCCATTCGCCCACACAAGATCGCGTCGCACTAGACCTCATGCCACGCGCTCCTTCATGGTTACTGTTAGGCTGAGTGCATATATCTTCCCGCACGTACGTCTGAGACCTAAGCCCGTCTTCGTTCCGCCGTCGCAGCCTGCCAGGCGACTACGGGTTCGATCCGCTCGGCCTGTCGGACCCGGAGGGGGCGGGCGCGTTCGTGTGCCCCCGATGGCTGGCGTACGCGGAGGTGGTGCACGCGCGGTGGGCCATGCTGGGCGCGCTGGGGATGGTCGCGCCGGAGATGCTGGGCGATCTGGGCGTCATCCCCGCGCGCACGGGCGTCGAGTGGTTCCGCTCGGGCGTCATTCCGCCGCTCGGCGCGTTCGACTACTGGGCTGACCCCTACGCGCTCTTCGTCGCGCAGGCGGCGCTGCTGGCATTCGCGGAGCACCGGCGCGCGCAGGACTACTACGGTGAGTCGCACCCGCGCGGAGTAAACATGCTTGCAGCTCCGCCCTCAAGCCTACAATGTGCTTTCTTGCCATGCCAGTATAGACTCGTTTGATGCGTCCGCGATGTCCGCTGGGTGCGATCATCCTCACGCGCAGCTCATCCCACGCCGTCCGTCCTTCCCCCTCGTGTCGCGCGTCCTGGCAGCGCCCGGCTACGGCGCGGCGACGCCATTTTTCGGCCTCGAGCGGCTGCTGGGCGGCTCCAAGCGCCCCGCGTATCCCGGCGGGCCGTTCTTCAACTTCGCGCGCCTTGGACGCTCCAGGGCGGAGATGCGCGCGCTGCGCACGGCGGAGTTGAAGCACGGGCGCGTGGCGATGGCGGCGTGCGCGGGATATTTCGCGCAGGCGGCGGTGACGGGGAGCGGGCCGTGGCGCAACGTGGTGGAACACGTCGCGGATCCCGCGGGCCACAACCTGCTGGCGCTCGTGGGGCTGCTGTGACGCGCGCACGCGCGCATGGTGACCGCCCGTGCTGCATTGCGCTGCCTGCTGCGGCGAGACGGGCAAGACCGTGTTGGGGGTGCCTCCATTTGTGCTCAATGATCATCCATAGCTCCAGAGCTGGAGCCGGACGGTGTAATGGACGAAACCACGGCAGCCAGCATGCTTTGGCACAGGGATTGGAAGGAATGTTCACTCGTGTATTACAATCAGTTGTGTCCATCTTTGACTATGGTAGGGTAGGGTACACTGTTGATGAATCTAGTGTATCTACAAGCAGCAGAGGTGCTAGTCCTTGCGCAGGTCCATGATCTCCCGCCGCACACCATTCTTGTCGATCACCACAATCTCCAATGCGTCGCCCTGCATGCCCCCCCCCCCCCCCCCCCCCCCCCCCCCCCCCCCCCACCACACATACACACAGTAATCAGCAAGTGGGTGCTGAGTAAAAAGGAACATGAACCGATGGCAGAGAAAAGCTTCCACTGACATGTAAGGGGCGGATTGGAAGGGGAGGAGAGAGGGAGACACAGCAGATGGGCTGACTGAAGGATTCAGGGGAGCATGGGCAGGGGGCAGGGCACGCACGGTGTAGCTGTCGCGCTCTGCAGCGGAGGCAACAGAGCGGCTCACTAATCGAGTAGGGAGCATGGGCAGGGGTTGGGGGGGCAGGGCAGGGCAGGGGAGCATGGTAGGGCAGGGGAGCATGGCAGGGCAGGGGATCATGGCAGGGCAGGGGATCATGGCAGGGCAGGGGAGCATGGGCAGGGCAGGGGAGCATGGGCAGGGCAGGGGAGCATGGGCAGGGGAGCATGGGCAGGGGGGAGCATGGGCAGGGGGGAGCAGGGGAGCACACACGGTGTAGATGTCGCGCTCTGCAGCAGAGGCGAAGGTGTCCTTGATGAGATCCACCGCCTCCTCCTGTGATAGCTTCGTTGCTAGCGGCTGCACGGCGCACACAGGCACAGCACACAGAGGCATGGGCAGACCGCACAGCAGAGTTGAGAAGATACTTGTGCTATGTTACACGCGCAGATGAATGAGCAGATTGGAAGGCAGGACAAAGCATGGCAAGCACACACCCAAGGCAGCATCTATCCCTGTGGCCATGCGGTGCGGTGCGCACCTGGGGAGGCAGCACGAGCGGGTTGGCGGCTTTGAGCTGGGAGTCGAGCACGGGCACCACGAGCTGCTGCCCCGTGCCGTGCACCACGTACCCCAGACGCTCGTGTGACCCCACTGCGTCGTACCCATACACACACCCCACTCCTGGTGCAGCGTGCACAGGGGGAAGTGGGTGGTGCCGGGGGGGATGGATTAGGGGAGATGAGGAGGGGAGATAAGTGGCTATGATGCGGCATGGGCAGCAAGCACCGTGCCGTGCACCACGTACCCCAGACGCTCGTGTGATCCCACTGCGTCGTACCCATACACACACCCCACTCCTGGTGGTGCGTGTGTCAATGGGGGGGTGGTGACAGGGGCATGGATTGGAAGAGTTGAAGAGAGAAGTTAAGAGCTTAAGTGATATTTCAAAATGCAGTCTAAGAAGTGCAGCAGACATGGAGTGCACGGCATGGTGAATGTGGCATGCGACATAGTGCATGTGGCACGGGCAGCAAGCAATATGTCCCCATGCCATGGACAAACAGCCTACCGTTAACATCCAATCCAGCGAGGGCATTGAAGGTGTAGTAGGGGAAGAACCGAGCGTGTTGGCCAGCAGATGAGGTCGCAGTGCCATGCAACAAGCAGCCTACCATTGGAACATGCAGCTCACCGTTAACATCCAATCCGGCGAGGGCATTGAAGGTGTAGTAGGGGAAGAAGCGCTTGTAGTAGAGCGTGTTGGCTAGCAGCTGTGCCATCGCCTCACACCCCATCTCCTCGTTGTGCTGCTGCTGGTACACCTGCCAGCCACACGGTTGGGGGGAGTGTGAGGAAGGGGACGGGGGGAGAGAGGGAGGGCGGGGGGAAAGATGGGGGGTATGCGCGGAGTTGGGAGTGGAAGCAGTTTCCCTTTCGCAGCTCAGTTGAAAATGTTAGACGCCCTGCGTGGCTAACTGGTATGCAGCAAGCGCCTTATGCAGCAAGCGCCTCTGCAACACATCCGCCCCCCATGCCCGCCCCCCACGTCTTCCCCACCTCATGCCACAGGTGCAGCACCTCATGCCACAGGTGCAGCACCTTCTGCAGCATCAGCCTTTCCAACCGACGCCCACAACCTATGTTTACACCGCCACATGCCCAACCCCCCATGCCCGTCCCCCCATGCCCGTCCCCCCATGCCCGTCCCCCCATGCCCGTCCCCCCATGACCCCCCCCCCTCCGCGCACCTCATGTCGCGAGTGCAGCACTTTCTGCAGCATCAACCTGTGCACTCGACCTACGCCCCCTATGCCCGCTCATCCCTCCCCTCTATGCGCACCTCGTGGCGCTGGTGCAGCACCTTCTGCAGCATGCGCCCTTCCACCCCATGCCCCCCAGCCCCTGACTCCCAGCTCCCCATGCCAGCCCCGCCCCCATTCCCCCCTCCCCTCTATGCGCACCTCGTGGCGTTGGTGCAGCACCTTCTGCAGCATGCGGCGGTCCGCCTGGAAGCCCGAGCTCACCAGCACACAGCGGTCCGAGCTGCGGGCCACAAACGCGCGGAGAGGGGTGGGGGGAGTGGGGGGAGTGGGGGAAAGGGGAAGCGCAGGGCACGTGGGGTGAGGGGGAAGCCCGAGCTCACCAGCACACAGCGGTCCGAACTGGGGGCAACAGGCGCGCGGAGAGGGGTGGGGGGAGTGGGGGAAAGGGGAGGCGCAGGGCAAGTGAGGTGAGGGGGGACGCCCGAGCTCACCAGCACACACCGATCCGAGCTGGGGGCACGGGCGCGCGAGAGGGGTGGGGGTGGTTGGGGGAGGAAAAGGGGAGGCGCAGGGCAAGTGGGGTGGGAGCGGGGAAGGGGAATGCGCAGTGCAACGGAGGTTGGTGGGGAAGGGTGCAGCGTATGAGGTGTTGGGAGGAAGGCGCGAGGCAAAGGGGGCGAGAAGGGAAGCAGAGAGGCAACAGAGGCAGAGAAAGGAAGGGGAGAGGCTGAATTCCAATCTGTCACAGCGCAGCGATGCACGGCTGGAAAAAGGAATAACCGTGGGAACAGACCAACAGGCGAGCAGGGAGTGAGGGGGAGAGGGGGGGTGAGGAAGGTAGGGGAGGAGAGAGAGAGAGAGGATAAGGGCGACGTGGGCGGAGGAGCGATAGGAACGGGGAGAAGGAGGTGAGCGATAGAGGTCGGGGGGCGGGGAAGCGATAGGGGCGGGGAGCGGGGAGGCGGGGCGGACATGCGGAAGATCTTGGAGGCGGAGCGCGTGTAGATGCTGTAGCCCGTGGACAGGCGCGTGTCCCCCGCCACTATCGCGAAGTCGCTCCCCGCCACCGCCATGCTCGTGCTGCGCGCGGGGGGAGGTGGAAGAGGGGGGGAAGGGGGACGGGGAACGGCGGACGGGCAGACGAGAAAAAGGATGAATTCGACGGATGCGCGACGGGGAAAGAAGGAAGGGAGGATGGGCGAAATGGATGGGCGGATGGAACGGAGGGACGGAGAAGCGAGGATTGGTGGATGGGACGGATGGGCTGATGGGAGGATGTCGGTTGGATGAGGTCGTTTCGCATGAACTTGGATCTACAGTCTCAAAAAGGTGCGAGCGAGCGGAGCTCGAGAATGGACGGTTAGAGCGCAGGCGGGGCGCTCCCACCGCCTCAGAATAGTGGCGCGCACACGCGGAGCGCATAATCGGCTGCCGTACGGCCGCAACGGCGTCAACTCCGAGGACCATCCGCTTCCACCGCGGAGAACTCGCAGTTTACACCGTGCAAACACAGCACGGATCGAGATTCCGCAATTTCTGGCGCGAATGGTGGAGGAGGAAGCCGGTGGCATCTCACCCGCCGTTGTTGTCGTACGGGCTCCAGTGCGCCATGGCGCGCTCCTCTGCGGCGTTGCTGCTACGCTCTGCACAGTTTCCTCCTCCTCGTGGTTCAGTCGAAACGCGAGCTCCGCTAAACAACCCTCGCCGCGCTGCGATGACGATTAGGCGACGGCAGTTACGTAAGACGGGAAGAGGAGGTACGAGTCAGACTAACTAGTCGAGGTGATTAGCGGACTGGCGTGGATGTGGGCGATAGGGGGATCTGGGATGCTGGGTTGGGCCTCATTCACATTCGCTCTCGCTACAAACACTCTTTCTACTTGTGTGTAGCGTTGCTACACCAGGTTTCGCAAGAGCAAGGAGCCCCAATTCAAATGTAGTACTTCCCTTCCGCCCTTTACATAAGCAACACGTAGATGAAAATATCAAGCATTAGCCACTGAAATTGATGGAATTATCAAGATTTCCACTGGAGGAGCTTCATGGCAAAGCTAGCATATATTTTGCAATGCCAAGGCGGATGTAAGCGGCGCCATTATCCTCAATGCATTAATCGCAGAGGTCTATTTCGCGAATAGCACCGACCAGAAGGTTCTGCGTCTCGCCTGCTCTGGGCTTGGCCGTGCGAAGCAGCATTGACCACACAGCAGGGCTTTTCGCGCTTCCTCACTAGCACACTGGCGAAATCGGAGTGTGGTCTGGCTGGCAGTTAGCGGCGGTTTGGTTCGGTTAAGTGCGAGGAGGAAGAGTGAGAGTGCGAGCAAGACCATCACTCACGCCCATCATCATGAGGGGGTGTCAGTCGGCCGAGCAGACACAGCAACACCCAACCCAACCTCTCAGCTTTCACCTTGTTCTGGCCGCCGAACAGCACAGTCCAATGAAGCACTATGGCGCCGTGGGTAGCTAGCGACGATACTTATTTAGACGAGCGCGCGCCATGACGTCATGCTCGTCGTGTGCTTCACCTCACTCTGCTTCCATCCCGATCCGCGGATCGCGACATTGCAGCACGATGTTAGGTCATGCCGCCTCTGCTGCCATCTGTTACCGCTTAGTCAGTCGACTTAGGTAGCTAATGTTTTGTTTATATCAGTAGCGACGGCGTAGCTATTTATCCTGGTAACGTATCTCTAAAGGCATTAGCTTTTATCGGATCTGCTAGCTCTGAGACGGACGCACAAGACGCGCGGCATGCTCTAGCCATCCGTGCCTGCGCCATTCTCACTCGTACCAAGCGGGTGTGCCGTCGTACCGGTTATAGAGTCGCTCGTTATTGCGATGGGGTGCGCCGTGTCGGTGGAGGTGGCCGGCAAGAACGACGCGGGGGGGGCGAGCAACCACGCAGTTGCGCAGAAGCCGACAGGGAAATCCGTTACAGTGCAAGGTACTGTATGGCGCCGCGGCGCGAGCGATCGAACCAGCGTTTTTAAAGCGAGCACTGGGGAAGGGTGTCGCGCGAGGCACATGCGCTTGCCATCTCCGTCGCTCGATTGCCGCTTCCCTGCTGGCGGCGCTCTCGTTTCGTGCGCCCTCGTGTTTCGTGCGCCCTCGTGTTTCGTGCGCCCTCGTGTTTCGTGCGCCCTCGTGTTTCGTGCGCCCTCGTGTGCGCGACCGTTGTATTCTCCCGTCCCACCCTCCGCCCACCTCAATTCCCATCTGTCCCCTCTTCATCCCCACCGTGCCGCCCATCATCGCGCCGCGCCAGACGCGCAAGTGCCAGCCACGACGGAGGTCGAGGAGCGCCCGACGGAGGCCGTCGAGTCGACGGCGACGGAGGGCGCGCGGCCGCTGCGCAAGTTCAAGCTGCGCGAGGTGCGCGAGATGTGCGACGGGTTCTCGTCCAAGTGCCCCGTGCTGGGCGAGGGCTCCTTCGGCACCGTCTACCGCGGCTCGGCGGACCTCGACGGGCGCGCCGTCGACGTGGCGGTGAAGCGGCTCAGCGCGGAGAGCCAGCAGGGCGTCGACGAGTGGCTGGTGCGTCGCGCCGCTTGGGGTGTGACTTTTAAGACGAGTGGGGGTTGCGTGCGGCTTGAGGGTGCGCGCCCGCCTGAGGGATGCGCACTCGTTTGGGGGGAGTGCGTACTGTTGGGATGTACGCAGGCTTTGTTGCTATGTGCGGGCTTGGGGGTGCGCGCACGATTGGGGGGTGAGCGCACGGTTGGGGGGTGAGCGCACGGTTGGGGGGTGAGCGCACGGTTGGGGGGTGAGCGCACGGTTGGGGGGTGAGCGCACGGTTGGGGGGCTGAGCGCACGGTTGGGGGCTGCGTGCAGGCTTTTGGGGTCGCGCGCGGGGGGCGCGCATTCTTGGGGAGAAAGGCGTACGCTTGTGGGGTCCGCGCAGACTTTTGGGGTGCGCACAGGCTTGGGGGGTGAGTGCACGCTTGGGTGGAGGCAGGTTTGGAGTGTGACCACAGGCTTGGGGGATGCACGCCTGCCTGGGGGGTGCGCACAGGTTACGGGGTTCCGCAGGCTTGGGGGATGCGTGTCTGTAAATGGGGGTGCTTGCTGCTGCCTGCGGCCGCGCCCTTGCGTTGCCAGCGGGGTGAGCGAGGATGGAGACTCGTGTATCGCCTGTACCCTCTCTTCCTCCCCTCGCCCTCCCCCCCTCTCAAGCAAGCCGCCTTGGATTCGCCGCCACACCATCCCGCATTCCTCATCCATTCATCTCCTCCCCCACACTCCTGACTTACTCTCTCCCCCCTCCCCACCCATCTCTCTCCCTCTCCCCCCTCCCCCATCCCCATTCCCCTCCCCTCACCTCTTCCCCCTTCCCCTCCTCGTGCGCGCGTGGCTGTGCCCGTGGCATTGGGTGGTGAGTGCTTGCTGCTGCCTGCGGCCGTGCCCTTGCGTTGCCACCGAGCGAGCGAGGATGGAAACTAGTGTATCGCCCCTCCCCTCTTTTCCCTTCCCCATCTTCACCCCCCCCCCTCTTCCTCCCCTTCTCATGCGCACCTGGGTGACCGTGGCTGAGCAGGCGGAGGTGCTGATTCTGGACCGGCTGCGCCATGCGAATCTGGTGGAGCTGCTGGGGTACTGCAAGGAGAAGGGCGAGTGCCTGCTCGTCTACCACTACTACGCCAACGACAGCGTTGAAACAGCCCTCTTCAATCGTAAGCCGCCCTCTTCAACCGTGAGTTTCCTTCCCACCTTCCTTCTCTCCCACCTTACTTTTCCCCACCTCCCTTCTCTCCCAACTTTTCTCTCTCCCAACACCCCATCCCCCCGCCCTCCTCCCCCAACCCCCCCTTCCCCTCCGCACGACCACGCCCATATCCGCTAGCCCCACCATGTAACTGTTCCCTTCCACTCACCCTTATTTCAGCCTCCTCTCCAACCCTCCCTTTCCACCCCCTTCCATCCCCCCCTCCCCACACCCCGTCCTCCTCTCCCCCCCTCTTCCCCCACCCATCCCCCTCTCCCCACTCCCCTTCCCCCTCCCACCCTCCCTCACGCTCTCTCCCCACCGGTCCTCCCCCATCCCTTCCCCGCACCCCTCCAAACCGCATCCCTTCTCCCCCCACTCGCCCCCTTCCCACCCAACACCATCCCGCCGCCCCCTCTCCGCGCTGCCTCTCCCCCCTCTTCTCCCCCACTCCCTTCATGTGTGCAGGCAAGCGAGCGGGGCAGGAGCCGTTCTCGTGGGAGCGGCGGGTGAGCGTGGCGTGGCAGTCAGCGGGGGCGCTGGCGTATCTGCAAACCCTGTCCTCTGCGATCCCTCTCCCAGACCCCTGCAAGCCACTTCCTTTCTCCCCCAACTCGTCTCCCTCCCTGTCCAACACCCATCCCACCGCCCCCTCCCCTCCCCCCCCCCCATCTCCCCCGTGCCGTGCGAGCGGGCAGGCAAGCGCGCGGGGCAGGAGCCGTTCTCGTGGGAGCGGCGGGTGAGCGTGGCGTGGCAGGCGGCAGAGGCGCTGGCGTATCTGCACGCCAACGACGTGATTCACCGCGACTTCAAGCCCTCCAACGTGCTGCTCGATGCGGTGAGCGCAAGGGGATGGATAGGAGGCTGGGCGATTTAGGCAAGGTGGCACGGTGCTGGGTGGGCTTGGGGTGAAGGTTGAGGCGCTGGTGTTGTGCTCGATGCAGTGAGCGCAAGGGGACGGGGGGCTAAGGGATTCACGCAAGCTGGCACGGTGCTGGGTGCTGTTGGGGTGACGGTTGACGCGCTGGCATGCTGCTTGATGCGGTCAGTGCAAGTGGGGAGGGGAGGGGGGAGAGAAGAGGGGTATGGGCGGGGGAAGGTGGGGAGGAAGACTAGTGGGAAGGGTGCGCCTGGGTGAGTGGTATGCGTGGGAGCTATGTGACTGGGGGAGGTTGATGCTGTAGATGTGGGATGTGAGGCTGGGAGATTTGGTCAAGGTGGCAAGGCGGTGGGTGGGTGGGTGGGCGGGCGTGGAGCGGGAGGAAAGTTGGTTGGGTTGGTGGAGTGTGGGGAGGGCGGGAGCCACGACCGTACAGAGGAGGTGGGTAGGAGGGTGGGGGAGGGATGGGGAGACGAGCAGTAGGCCCCACTGCACCCTCTCGTGGAGTTTGGGAGAGACTTCACGCCTGCCTGATGCATGTTGTCTCCTCCTCTTGCCATCACCCTTGTTAATGTGCATCACTCTGGAAAAAATGTCCATCCTTCCTGCCTTTGAGTGCCCTTGCCCACGCCACGCCTCACTCACCACATCCCTCTCCCCTCCCTGCGTGCATGTGGGTGGCGGTGTTGGCGGTGGGGGTGGCAGGACTGGACGGCGAAGCTGAGCGACTTTGGGATGTGCAAAGAGCAGGAGGCGGGCAAGTCACACGTGTCCACGCGCGTCATGGGCACTCTGGGGTACCTCGACCCTGACTACATGGAAACAGGTGCCTCATGTGCCTCTCCCTTGTTGCACACACTCACGTGCCTCCCTTACTCTCATGTGCCCCTCCCTCTCTCTCTCACCATCACGTGTCCACGCGCGTCATGGGCACTCTGGGGTACCTCGACCCCGACTACATGGAAACAGGTGCCTCCTCACTCTTCACGTTTTTCACACACTCTCACATGCCTCGCATACTGCCACGCACAGGCTCAGGTGCCATGTGCAAACTCAGGTGCCACGCACAGAATCATTGTTAGGGGCCCAGATAGCGTGGCGAGTAGCTGACACGGACACACGGTGATGCAGATGGCAGCGCTGCCAGCAATTCCATCAACAGATGCCCTTGTTTCAACACACCTGCATGAGCTCTTAGTCGCCAACTTTTCCCCAATTACTCCATCCCGCCCCTCACAACTCCTCCCCCCTGTTCCCCCCTCCCCCACTCCCCCTCGGCAGGGCTGCTGCGGCAGAGCTCGGACGTGTATGCCTTCGGGGTGTTCCTGCTGGAGCTGATCACGGGCAAGCGCGCGGTGTCCGACACGGGGCAGCCGCTCACCAGCTGGGTGTTCCCCTTGCTGGACCAGAAGAAGCCCGAGATCGACCTGCTGATCGACTCGGCGCTGGAGAGCAGCTTTGACCGCGATAGCGCGCTCAAGATCGCCGTCATCGCCAAGTTCTGCATCGGCGACGAGGAGCTGCGCCCCGAGATGACCGCCGTCGCTGAGAGGCTCAAGAAGCTTGTTGTCTCGTGACCACGGCTGGGGGCTAGGGACCATGGCAGGGCTGGTGGCTCGTGACCATGGCAGGGCTGGTGGTTCGGGACCACGGCAGGGCTGGTGGCTCAGGACCAGGGCTGGGGGCTCAGGACCATGGCAGGGCTGGTGGCTCGGCTGGTGGCTCGGCTGGTGACTAGGGCTGGTGGGTTTGTGATGTAAGTCGAGGGCTTGTGAGCAAAGCTGGTGGGCTTGTGACCATTGGCAAAGGATGAGATGGTGTGAGCTATTGGCATGGGTGGCACAGGTGGTAGAGTGGTGTTTGGTGGCGCTTCAGTAGTAATGCTACCGTCATCACCCGGATATAAGACAGTGTTGAATAGTAGACAGGGGTTGTCTATTATACGGGTGTCTCTTAAACACAGGCTAGCCTCATAATAAGACACCCATTTGTGTGTACGGGTTAAGAAAGTGTAGGAGTTAGGGGCAAATGTATAGCGAGGGGGTATCTTCTAAACGGTTCTTTGTCCATTTATAAGATTTATAAGACACCCTAAACCATCCCGTTTACAAGATAACTCAAGCATTTTTGCCCGTGTACGAGATAAGACATATATGTCTTATATCCGGGCGATGACGGTATGTTGTGGGGCTGCCACTGAGTCAAGAAGCAGTTGAGTTTCACCACCCGAAACATGAGAAAATCCACACAGGTGAAGTAAAAAAAATACGGTATGATAGGCTGGTCTGATTTATGACTGATCAGATAATTTATTCTCATAGCGCCAGCCCTGGTTGGGAATACTGAATACATACTACATGCAAATAGGCCTAGACAAGCGCAGCCCCCTGACCCCGTCGGAAAAACGCTCGGAACGAGAACTTCCACCACCAAAACGTCTAGAACCATCCGTACATGCGCAGGAAGTGCAGCAGACGCTCTTCATTCGCGAGCGATGACCGATTATGCTCGCAACCCTCCCACGCCCTTGCTGGCTTGGCAGTAGGCCCAGACAAGCGCAGCCACATGACCCGGCGGAAGAAAAACGCTCGGAACGAGCGCTTCAAGTCCCAAAACGCGGAAGGATCCGCACATGTGCAGAAAGTGCAACAGTCGCTCTTCATTCGCGAGCACCGATGACCGATGATACTAGAAACCCTCCCACGCCCTTGCTGGCTTGGCAATAGGCCCAGACAAACGCGGCCACATGACCCGGCGGAAGAAAAACGCTCGGAACGAGCGCTTCAAGCCCAAAACGCGGAGGAATCCGCACATGTGCAGGAAGTGTAGCGGGCGCTCTTCATTCGCGAGCGCCAATGACCGATGATGCTCGCAACCCTCGCACGCCCTTGCTGGCTTGACAATAGGCGCAGACAAGCGCAGTCATGTGACCCGGCGGAAGAAAATCGCTCGGAACGAGCGCTTCCAGCCCCAAAACGCATCATCGGTCATCGACGCTCGCGAATGAAGAGCGCCCGCTACACTTCCTGCACACGTGCCGATTCTTCCGCGTTTTGGGGGTGAAAGCGCTTGTTCTGAGCGTTTTTCTTCCACCGGGTCATGTGGCTGCGCTTATCTGGTCCTCTTGCCAAGCCAGCAAGGGCGTGGGAGGGTTGCGAGCTTCATCGGTCATCGGCGCTTGCGAATGAAGAGCGCCCGCTGCACTTCGTGCACATGTGCGGATCCTTCCGCGTTTTGGGGGTGGTAGCGCTCGAGCGATTTTCTTCCAACACATCACGTGGCTGCGCTTTGTCAAACATTGTATGTTTATATTGTGTAGGCTATAGTGGGTTTAGCCTTAGAGGGTACACAAACTTAGGGTTTCATACTTGTACCCACCTTCCTGCTAGTTCATCCATTCTCGTTCTATTCTAGATTCTGACATGGTATCAGAGCCTAGGTTGCTACCTAGGACCGCTTTCTACAATGGGCCCACTATTCCGCTAGGCGCGCCCTCGTGCGCCCTACCTTACGTGCGCCCTCGTGCGCCCTACCTTACGTGCGCCCTCGTGCGCTCTACCTTACGTGCGCCCTCGTGCGCCCTCGTGCGCCTTTCTCTGCTAGTGCGCCTTCGTGCGCCCTCGTGCGCCCTCGTGCGCCCTCGTGCGCCCTCGTGCGCCCTCGTGCGCCCTCGTACGCCCTCGTGCGCCCTCGTGCGCTCTCGAGCTGCCCCTGCAGGTCCGTCAGGCCCCCGAGCCGCCGCTGCAGGCCCGTCAGGCCCGAGAGCCGCCCCTGCACACCCGTCAGGCCCGCGCGCAGCCTCTGCACGACCGCGCGCCGCCCCTGCAGGCTCTCGCCGCCCGCCGCGTCGCCCTGCCCGTGGCGTCGCCGCCTCCCCGCGGCGTCGTTGCCTGCCCGCGACGTAGCCCCTGTCCGCGGCGTCGTCGCCTGCCCGCGGCGTCGTCGCCTGCCCGCGGCGTCGCCGCCTGCCCGCGGCGTCGTCGCCTGCCCGCGGCGTCGTCGCCTGCCCGCGGCGTCGTCGCCTGCCCGCGGCGTCGTCGCCTGCCCGCGGCGTCGCCGCCTGCCCGCGGCGTCGTCGCCTGCTCGCGGCGTCGTCGCCTGCCCGCGGCGTCGTCGCCTGCTCGCGGCGTCGCCCTACTCGCGACGTCGCTACCTGCCCGCCGCGTCGCCCTGCCCGCGGCGTCGCCACCTGCCCGCCGCGTCGCCCTGCCCGCGGCGTCGCCACCTGCCCGCCGCGTCGCCCTGACCTAATCCGCCTCTCGCCCCTGGAGCAGCCGCCACTGCAGCAGCAGCCCCTGGAGCAGCCGCCACTGCAGCAGCAGCCCCTGGAGCCGCCCGCCACTGCAGCAGCAGCCCCTGGAGCCGCCCGCCACTGCAGCAGCAGCCCCTGGAGCCGCTCGCCACTGCAGCAGCCGCCCCTGGAGCAGCCCGCACCTGCAGCAGCCGCCCCTGGAACAGCCCGCACCTGCAGCAGCCGCCCCTGGAGCAGCCCGCACCTGCAGCAGCCGCCCCTGGCACCTGGAGCAGCTGCCGTCGCGGCCCAGCCTCGCCCTGCCGCAGCTGCCGCGGAGCTCCCTGCTGCGGCCCGGCCCAGCCCTGCAGTTGTAGCGGCCCCACTGTCGCCACCGTCTTGCGCTTGCCGCGCCGACCACTGGTGAGCATTGCCCAGTACTGCTGCAACTGCCTTTTCTACTCCCACTGCCACTGCTCCTGCTGTTACTACTGTTACTGCCGCTACTGCTACTACTGCTGCTCCTGACGTGGCCAGATGCAGCTCCAGGGCTGTGCGCGTGAGTCCCCCACGCCCCAGCAGCTTCGTGCGCGTGAGTGGTACGCTAGTCGGGGCTGTCGGGGTGGCCGTCGTGGTAGTCGCTCTGGAGTGGGTCGGTCGGGAGCTTCTGGTAGTGGACAGGTGCAGCAGCCGTGTCCTCCTTCGCCCCAGCTACTTTGTGCGCGTGAGTGGTACGCTAGTTTGGGCTGTCGGGGTGGCCGTAGTGGTAGTCGCTCTGGAGTGCATCGGTCGGGAGCTTCTGGTAGTGGACAGGTGCAGCTGCCGTGTCCTGTCAGTGAGGCTGCCGCTCTAGGTGCTAGTACGTCTGTTGCCCTAGGTGCTGGTGAGGCTGCTACTCTAGGTCCTAGTGAGTCTGCGCCCCCTGGTACTGAGTCGACTGAGGCCCTGCACACCTTCACCCTGGACTCAGGTGCTTCTCGCTGTTTCTTTCGTGACCGCACTGCCCTTGAGCCGCTTGCTCGGCCAGTTGCTGTCTCCCTCGCTGACCCCTCTGGGGGTCCGGTCATTGCGACCTCCTCCACTGTTCTTCCCTGTCCTGCGGTCCCGTCGGGCACACTGTCAGGTCTCCACCTCCCCTCGTTCTCTACGAACTTGGTGGCGGGTTGTGCGCTCCAGGATGCGGGTGTTCACCAGTTCACCCCTGCCTACGAGCGCGTGACACACTGCACGTGTGCTCGGACGGGCCGTCACCTGGCTACCTTCACTCGGCAGCCGGGGTCGGACCTGTACACACTGACCACTGAGTCCCCTCAGGTAGCTGCGTCCGCGTCTGCGTCAGGTCAGCTGTCGGCCCCCTGCTCGTGTCGCTCTCTGGCGCACGACACCGTTCTCTGGCACCACCGACTTGGCCACCCGTCTGTGCAGCGCCTTCGTGCCATGCACAAACGGCAGCTTGTCTCTGGTCTTCCCAGGGTGCTCCCTCCCCTCCCACCCTCGCCTGCTCCTCCCTGTCTTCCCTGTGTCGAGGGGCGGCAGCGCGCCGCTCCTCACTCCTCCTCCTTTCCCCCGACGACTGCTCCCCTGCAGACGCTCCACCTGGACGTGTGGGGCCCAGCCCGCGTCCGTGGACAGGGTCAGGAGAGGTACTTCCTGATTGTTGTTGACGACTACTCGCGCTACACCACGGTCTTCCCCTTGCGCACCAAGGGTGAGGTCCCTGATGTCTTGATCCCTTGGATCCGCAGAGCTCGTCTCCAGCTCAGCGAGCGTTTCCGCTCGGACTTTCCTGTCCTGCGTTTGCACTCTGACAGAGGTGGTGAGTTCTCCTCCGACCTCCTGGCAGCCTACTGTGCGGAGCACGGCATTGAGCAGTCGTTCACGCTTCCGGCCTCTCCACAGCAGAATGGGGTTGCTGAGCGCCGCATTGGCTTGGTCATGGAGGTCGCTCGTACCTCCTTGATCCATGCGGCTGCCCCCCACTTTCTGTGGCCGTTTGCTGTCCGATACGCTGCGCATCAGCTCAACCTCTGGCCCCGTGTCTCCTTACCGGAGACTTCCCCGACACTGCGTTGGACGGGAGAGGATGCGTCGCGTTTTCGGGTCTGGGGATCCCGAGCTTTTGTTCGCGATACGTCCGCGGACAAGCTCTCCTCTCGCGCTGTTCCTTGTGTCTTCCTTGGCTTTGTCCTGGACGCGCCTGGTTGGCAGTTTTACCACGTCACCTCGCGCCGGGTTCTGCCTTCTCAGGACGTCACTTTTGACGAGTCCGTCCCCTACTACCGCCTCTTCCCCTACCGCACTGCCCCGCTCCCCCCCCCGCCTCTCTTCCTCGCGCCAGGTGCTGCT